CAAGGTTACTGGAAAAGGATCCACGCATCCCCATTTCCTGGTGAAATATGAACCTCTAAAGATAAAGAGAAAATCCTAAAAGCGATGAGAGTGAGAGAAAGAGCACAGAGCCGTTACAGACAAGAGAACAAAACCAAACACCAAAGGTCAGCCTGGAGATTAGAAAACCATGAAGCAGCAGTTCCAGAGTTCTGAGGGAACTAACAGTTAAGCAGGAAGAAAAAAGACAACTTTCTTTTACAGGTAATGACTCCAAAATCCCAATGACAAACTAGGTAATGACTCCAAAATCCCCAATGACAAACACTTGCTAAAAATAAATAAATAAATAACATAGTGTAGCAAAAAAAAAAAAAAAGTTTAATTCTAAGGGGACTTCCTTCTGTCAAATCTTACATGTGGCTATTTAAAAAGCAAAGAGAAGAAAATGAAGAAATTATACCTCGGTCTTGGGTTAGGCACATCAACTTAAAAACAATTTATTATGGTAAAATACACATAAAATTTACCATTAGTGATATCTAGTACATTCATAAGGTTGTGCAACCATTACCACTACCTAATTCCAGAATACTTCATCACTCCGAAAGGAAGTCCTGAACCCACTAAGGAATCATTCCCCAGCCTCCTGTCTGTCTATGGATTTGACTATTCTGGGAATTTCATTTAAATGGACTCATACAATGTGTGGCCTTTGCTTCTGGGTTCTATCAGTTAGCATGTTTTCAAGTTTTGTTCGTGTACAGCATACATATATCGGCACTTTCTTGCTTTTTTAAAAAAAAGGGCTAATTAAAATTTTTACTGAGGTGATATTCACAAAATATAAAATTAACCATTTTCAAGTGAACAATTTAGTAGCATTTAGTACATTCTCAAGGTATGCATCAACCACTTCTATCTACTTTCAAAACATTTTCATCACCTCATTCCTTTTTTTAGCTGAATAATATTCTACTGTGTGGCTATACCACATTTGGTTTACCTATTCATCCGTTATTAAACATTTGGGTTGTTTCTTGCCAGCTTTGAGCTATTGTAAATAATGTTGCTATGAAGTTTTGTGTACAAGTTTTTGTTTGAATACCTGGTTTCAGTTCTTTTGGGTATATACCCAGGAGAGGAATTGCTGGGTCATATGATAATTCTATGCTGCGTTTTTTGAGGAGCTGCCAAATTGTTTCCCAGTGTGGCTGTACCATCTTACATTCCTACCAGCAATGTACAAAGGTTCCGATCTCTCCACAGCCTCTCCAAAACTTGTTATTTTCCTTTTCAAAAAAATTAAAGCCATCCTAGCAGGTGTGAAGTGGTATCTCATTGCAGTTTTGATTTGGCTTTCCCTTAGGGCTCAATTACATTGAACATCTTTTCATATGCTTGTTGGCCAGTTGTATGTCTTCTCTGGGGAAATGTCTGTGTCTTTGCCCATTTTTAATAGGGTTGTTTGGTTGTTTTGTTAAGTTGTAAGAGTTCTCTTTATATATTCTGGATACAATACCCTTATCCGATATATGATTGTAAGTATTTTCCCATTCTGTGGGTTGTCTAGTCACTTTCTTGACAGTATCCCTTGATATACGAAAGTTTTTTATTTTGATGAAGTCCAGTTTACCTACTTTTTCTGTTGCTAAAGAAAAGGGATTTTAAGAGTTCAAGAAACAGTGGTGAGTAAATAACTCATTAAAATTTAACTCTAAATGATTCGTAATGCAAAATTTTTTTAAAAAGCAATAGAGACCAAAAAAAAAAAAAAAATCAGATAAAGGAGGAAGAAGAAAGGTATTCAGGGAGAAGGGAAGTGACAATGCACTAAGGTTTTTATCTTGTTGGGTGGAAGATATACATATTTGTTAATTAAGTATGTGTAAATTTAATCATGAAAAGCACAGAGATAGGAAATATAACTTTTAAATCAATAGAGGAAATTAAATAGATAAAATGGA